ATACAATTTTATTTTTACTAATTATGAAGAAACTTTTTACTTGTTTCCTAAACAAATATTTATGTGTACTACTTTTAGAATAAATGCGACAGAGTGTGAGTACTCGTCTTCAAATATACGTTAGTGTCAATAAGCTTAACTCTAAATTATTAAACATTTCTGGGACCTTGAAACTTGGAAGGGAATCGTCATATTTTGCTACAGTGGGTATTTAAATTTAGATTAATTTTAATATTTCCATTTTGTATTACACAATCATTTTCAAAGCTCTTTGGATACATATCAATAAAATTTGTTTTATTATGTTTATGATTTCATCATAAACTTGCAAAGAATTTCCTAAAAATATTCGAATATCCATAATTTTTACTGTTAAATATTTAATAATTATACATTAACTGAAATGCATTTATAGTACAGAGGAAATGTAGAAAGATATTGCAGGTGATGTATTATGTATCATTGGAATATGACAATAATAACAGTACAATTTGACTGAAGGGAAAAAGAGGAAAAAAAAAAAAAAAGACAGATGTTTCAGCGTTTTAAAAGGGAAATGGACATCTTTACAGTAAAGTCTTGGATGAAAGTTTTACTATGACTCAACTTGGGAAGATACTGGAAATTTATAGTGGAGGCGGGGTCCCTTTCTTCGTTAAACAGCTGCATTGAAGTGTGAAACGCTACCCCCTCAAGTATACTTGTAAATTGGCTGATGACTCAGAACAGTAAACTGAACTTAAACTTGCTCTTATTCTAATCCCATTTCTCTAGTCTATGGCGAGAACAAACAGAAGTTTTTCTTTAAAATTAAATTTCAAAGTGATCTCAAATATAATTCTTCATTATACAGGTAAGTTATTGATTTGTAATATCTAAATTAATCATAAACTAAATTCTTATAATTTAAAACTTGCTAAAACTTCAATTCAGCTAAACTTTTAATCCATTTATCTGAAAAATCCAAAATTATCACCATTAACAATGCAAATGTCTACTAATATCAATAACGTATTGTTATATTAACATGAAATATTTTTATGATAAGTATAGAAATATAAATATTATCTATGTTTCCATACGTTAAGAAACATCATAACAGGCCAAAATTAAAAACAAAATTTTTTAAACATGTTGTTTGCTATAGTGCAGGATCGATCAACCCTTCAATCGGCTCGACAATCGAAAATCAATCAACTTGAATGGAGCTCATCAACATCTAAAAAGCATTTCTATTAATATGCAAGATATGAGAAACAAGTTTGAAGACATTATGAAAGAAGCTGAGTTTATTGCAAATAAATGGGGCATAGAAATTAAATTTGAAAAATGAAAGAGAAATAAAGAACCTAAAACACTCATTGTTAACAAATACGGAAATTATTAATAATGTTTCAAAAATACAGAAAACATATAAAGAAGACTTGCATTGGAAGTACAACTTTTATTATTTATAAATACTTTCAGAACAGAAATCCAAAATTTGAAATCCTTTAAGGATTTAGCTAAATTAGCAATGGTAAAATATTATGACATGACAAGCGGTTATTCGGGAGTGTACAATTTACTTAGATTGTATTTATCATTACCTGTAACCACAACCATGAGTGAGAGGTCATTTTCACTAGTGAAACTAATAAAAACATATTTAAAAAACATATATAAGAAACAGCATGACACAAGATCGGTTGTTAAAGCTTTCACTATTGAGCGTTGAAGCTGAGATGGCTGAGAAAATAGATGTCCAATTATTGATAAATAATTTTGTGGAAATGAAGGTTAGGAGATGCAAATTTTAAAAGAAGGATTTTTTTTCTTTATGATGAATTTTGGCCACCAATGTTATCATTACACTTATTGAGAGAGGAAAAAATTAGAGAAGAGCAGTATGGACTGAGGAAAATGAAAAGGAAACAGTAAAAAACTTTATCTTATCTTTCTTTTAGCATTTTTTATAAAAATCATGTATTCAAGTAGTTTAGTGTACAAAAAGGTTTTTTAAAAAGACAGAAAAAAACTTTACCATACATATTTTCTACAAAAATTGTATGTTCAAATAGTTTTCTTTATGAAGTTTAAGATAAATATTTTTGTATTTAACAAATGTATCATTTACATTATAAAAGTTCTTATTTATTACTTGTATATTATTGCATAAATCATGTTCGAAAGGTAGGGTACGAACTGCGCCAAATTTGATATCACAGAATACCGTACATTAATGTAATAGCCTTTCTGTACATTTATCAATTATCTTGTCTGTCAGTTTATAATATAACTAATTATTTATAAGTTTGCTAACTGAAGCGAAAAAAATTTACATAGGCGCAGATTTTATATAAAAATTTAAAACGTTAGTATGTAAAACTTCTTGAATTTTTTATAAAAGTCTCCGCAAATCGAGGCTTTCTACCTTTTCTTAGTGCTATACGTCAACATGTTCCTTTTTTTATATAGACTTATTCATTTATTATCAGTATGCATCTGAGTGAAAGGAGAGAAAAATCTGTCTCTCGCACTCACACAAAAAGTCTTAAGTAACTGAATTAAAATCATCTGAAGTCAAATACCCAGACTAAAGCAAATTTTCATTTCACCAATTTGTCAAGGGAAATTATTTTCCTTTTTATTCTTTCTTCATGTTACGTACCTTTCAACTGGTTCCCTAAGAACATGCTTTTATTTTTTTACAGTTAATCCAGATGTGATAAAAATCATCATAAAAACATTGGCTTATGGAATCTTTTTTTTTTTTTTTTTTTTTTTTTTAAGCACATTAAATTTATTGGGAAAGGGGCCCAGGAAAATTTTTTGCATAGGGGCCCAAGAGTTCTAGTTACACGACTGGTCAGATGGTATCACTTGAACAACTTATATTGCAAATTGACCACTCTGGGGTTTCCATTCTTCTTTTGTACAGATAATTACGCCGTGTGTTACTGTGTACCATCACATTATATATAGGTGTCTTCCTGTGGCTGAGCAATAAATTGTCTCAACACAGGTAGTTTGACCTGGGTTTGAATCCTGATGAATAGGCTGGCCGAGTGGGCGTTTTCATGGTTTTCCCCATATGTAATGCGGGTACGAGTAAGTTTTCTATAGAAACTCCTCCACAAAGGTGGATAGCCTTTGTGTCATTGCCATAATCAAATCAGAGACACTAAAACTACATTAAATATAGATAATTTGCTTACCAACACACAGCCTAGCTATTTGCAGTTTCACATTCATGGTACTATTTTGTTGATCATGAGTGCATATATAGCTGCTGGATGTACATAAAGTGCATGCAGTAGATGTTTCATTCTAGATCCAATTTCCAGTGGCGTAGCTAGGGTGGGGCAAGGGGGGACATTTGTCCCCGGGCGCAGCATTCCATTAAAAAATCCAAAATTTTTTAATGGAATGTTTTCCCATTTGGCACGCATAAAGGGGCGCAAATTCTTCAGTTGTCCCCGGATGCTGGAATCGTAGCTACGCCACTGCCAATTTCTGATAATAAAGTGGACATGCCATATGATTTCTTTTGTATTGTTTTGTGAATGTATTCTAGTTTTCCTTTGAATCTTCCATAAAGGGATCTGTTTTTAATAAATATCAGTTAGTTTTATAGAGTGAGCATTTAAGCCTTTCAGAAAACAAAAAAAAAAAAAAAAAAAAAAAAATGCAAAAGTCTTTTTGTGCTTTATGATCACTGGTAATCAAATGCTGCATTAATACATATATTCAGGTTTTGTACTAATTAATACAGCAATAACTGTTGTACATGTGATTCTGAACAAACACACTTCATTGATATCTGGTGCTGAACTGTGGTTAATATCCTCTAATATTATATGGTTGCTGGTTCTATTCCACTGAAAAATCACAAAAAAATTGTTAATAAAACAATGCACTATATCACAAGGAAATATTTATATGGTAACTCATGCCACTGAAAAGTATTTATGTATAACTCAGTCATGCATGTAGCACAAGTATGTTTTACATTTAATTATATTTGCATTTTCAAAATTAAACAATCATTTTTCTGATTATTATTTCTGTTTGCATCAAGTACATCTGTTTTTGTCATAATGGAATAGAACTATGGAGTTTCCTGGCTGATTAGCATTTCTTCAGAAGTATGATTTTTTTGCCCACTAATGCAGAATTCAAAAATTTGCATTTTATAAAGTTTTTAAATGGCCAAATTTTGTGAAAAATGCAATGTAAAAAATTGCAAGAAAATTAAATACAGATTGTGCACCTATTTAAAGATGGCTATATACGGTTTGCAACAGCTATTTGCTTTCTTTGTTATTGGACAAAGGAATATACGTCAGTGAAAAAATAAGTGGCACTGGATGAATCTTTGAAATAGGTGTAAAAATACTCAAACAAACGTTTCTCTCTAAGGTCACCAACAATTACATCATTTTTCAATAGGGATGGTGATAATCAAAAAGTACCATTCTTTTTCCCTATTTCCTTTTTTACATGATTTTATTAGCTTTGATTTCCATTCTAAAATTTGTGTAAGTAATAATAAGCATAAAGCTAGCAGTCCTGCCACGTTATTTTAAAAGATATTGTAGAATGTTACTTTATTTCAAATTTAAACATGTTTCTGTGTACTTTTTAAATTCCTATTTGATTATATTTTTAACTTATTTAATTGCTTTACTAGCAAAGCTTGGAAAAATTGGAGTTAAAACAACATGCCAAATAACGATTATTGGAGGTGTTAAAGCAGCAAGAATCAGCATAAATATTCATAAATTTGCTGCACTAGTTTCGAAGGCTGTATATTTAAACCTTTGAAACTAGTCCTGCAAACTTATGAATATTACGTTGATTGTCATACGTTAACTTCACGCTCATTGGTTGTTTTAATTTAAAGCATTATTCAGTTCACTAGAGAATCCGAGGCTTAGTAGCATATACCTAAGCAGTGTTAGATTTCAGACAAAATACTTTACCTAATCTTAGGAAAAATCTTTTTTTTCCCCCCTTAGGGTGGAGCTTCAGTTAATGATAAGGATAATAGTGGTCGGTCTTCTCTCTTTCATGCTGCTGCATTTGGACATAGAAGTGTTGTTCAACTTCTAATTGAGAAAGGAGCTATTGCTGATATGGTGTAATAATCTTTTCTGTTTTATCATTTAATTTACTATTTCTTAAATGAATTTTTGTTTCATGCTTTTTTGTTTCACTAAATTCTAAGTTATATTTAAACACAATGAATTTAAAAACTGAGAATACATTAACATTTTATTAGATAAATAATGCTTTTAAAAGTAAGATAAGCACCAAAAGATGGTAATTATTTTTTATTTTAACAGAAAATTTCATTTATAATAGTTGCATGAGAAACTAAAACTAAAAGTCTCCAAATTAAAAAAAAAAAAAAGTATATTAAATTAAAAGTTGATAGTTTGTTTCATTCAGAAAGTTGAGATAACAGAAACTTTTCATTTATTTTGATTCTGTAAAAAGAAATATTAGTCATTAGTTGCATGAACTTAAGTCTTTATAAATAAATAAACCTTTAAACATTGAGACTATAAAATTTTGTGTCTATTATTTTATATCTAAAAATATTTTGACCCATTCATCATCAGGACATGATTCTAGAAACAGGTGTTATTGGCAGCTTCCTTAGGTTAAAATAAAATTTGTTTATCACTTGAAGTTTTATTATTGTATTTTGTTTTCTGGTACCTATAAATTTCATGTAATTGACATAATAATGTATTTATTAGTTGATCTTCAAACAAGCAATTAGATGCTAAGATAAATGCTTTTATCCATGTATAATTTTTTCTGCTTTACAAGTGGAAAATTTTGGGAAAAAACAATAGTAACATTTTACAGAAACAGAAAAAACTGTGTTCTGAGGGTGCTGGTTAGAATGTATACTAAAGACAACTTTACAACAACAACCAATTTTATTTTGTTGGACTGTAATATCACTACAAATCTAAATCAAAATAATGAATTCCTGATGATAAGGGATCAAAACATGTATACTTCGCTAGGAATCCAAATTTTAATTAACTGAAATTGCAGAGAAATAATGTGCTGTACATAACATAAGTTGCGCAGAAACAATGCGCTGTACATAACTTTTATTGTCGCGTAGGAGGCAACAAAAACTGATATTGTAAACTTTTGGGTTAAGAGAAGATGACAGATAAAAATACACAGTATTTATAAAATTAATTAAATCTGTTTTAATTTCCTTCCATAGATGTGTTTTTGACAGTTTATTTAATTGTACAGCTAATATTGTGATACAATGTAAAACATCCATCAATACTATTAACCTAGCTTCAGAGATTATAAAATAATAATATTCTTATTATACAAAAATACACGTATACCTTTTAGGACAGAAAAACCCTCTGAAAATCCTAGTGATAATAATTTTGGGGATAACTTGCTGCATAATCAGACAGCTGACTAAACTTATTTACATTCCATGAACCATTCTTTTCTTTCTAACAGTTTCTCATCTGCAACACCTATTGATATGCATACTTCAAATTCTATTTTAGTACCTAAAATTTTAAGCCATTAACTGCATCAAAATGTCTTTCAGATCATACTGAACTTTAAACTGTTGGCAAAGAAAAATGTAAATGCAGCAGTCCCCCCCCTAAAAAAAGGAAGCAAAATTTTGCAGTTATTTTCAAAAAACACTTGAGAACTCAAATCAGTAGGTAACTGTGGGAAATGATGTTGTAAAACATAAGGTAACTTTAAATAAATTTTAAAAAATATATACTTTTTACTTCACTAATAAAATTGTTTGAAAATGAGTGTATTATTGTATGTATCTATGTATTGTGTATGTATGCATTAATATTTTAAATTATTTGAAATCATGTTGGGTTTTTTTTTACTCCATGGTAATTTTCGGGAGTTCTGTAATGGGATTGCAATCACTTCTAATATTTTTAAAATTAATGTAGCAGTAAGAGCATCTAAGAGTTGTAAAGTATTTTAATATAAATTTTGTTGTGAGAAACAGGTCTGCAGATATTTTTAAAAGTGCTTCCATAATTTTGCCAGCTACCATATTTCATGATGATAACTGTAAATTTTAAGATTTTCAGATATCATGAGTAAAACTTTCTTATTAATGTAATATGTCAAGAAATGCTAAATGGAGATGATACTTAGGATGTTTTGAAAATAAGTTTCGTCATTTTGTTTTCACATGGAAACTTTATTGCCCTCCCCCAAATACAACATCAAAAAAAAAAAAAAAAAAAAAAAAAATACAACATGATATCATGTTGTATTTTTTTGGGGGGGGGAGTATAATATACCTTGCACAATTTTTTAACATAGTTGCCACCAATATTGAGACATTTGTCATAGCACACAATCAGTTTGAAGAAACCACTGTGGGTAAAACTCAGTGCCCTGCAATGCAAGGAATTAATGCACAACCGGCTCCACCACAGCATTGTTTGAAAGTGATTTCCTGAGAGTGAAGCTTTCAATGCAGGTAACAGATGAAAGTCCATTGGGGCAAATGATAGAATGTCTCCCATCCAATGCAACAAATCTTATCTTGTGTGAGCTTCGCTGTGTCTGATTTTGCATTGTCGTCCAAGAACACAACACTTTCACTCAAGAACCCTGGTCTCTTTCATCGAGTGGCAGATCTAAGTTTGGTGAGGGTGTCGCAGTACCATGCCACATTGATGGTCTGTTCATGGAGGAAATCAAGGAAAATCACATCTTTTGTGTTCCAAAACATTATGGCTGTAACCTTTGCTTACAGCAAATAATTGCTGTGGAGGCTGATGCTTTGAATTTTTTAATCACTAGTGAAACGGGATGATTCCATGTCATTGAGGTGGCCTTGGTTTCTGGAATAAAGTGGGGTACCTATATCTCATCACCTGTGATGATCCTGAAAGGGAACTCATTTCTCTCTCATGTATACCTTATCAAGTGATCAAGGCTGATTTCTGTTCTTGCACTCTTGTGATCTGGGCTCAGGTTTCTCGGCATCCATCTTGCAGACACTTTTTGGTAACCTAGCAAATCATGGAGCATGTGATGATCCTGAGCACGTCCAATATGTAGTGTGGACACTACATCTGATGCCATTATGTACCTGTTTGCTAGCACCATGTTCTGTGCTCTAGTTAATGTTGCTTTCATTTGTGGATATTGAGGGACATCCACTTTGACTTTCATCCTGTGCACTCTGCCTTCCTTCACTAAATGTACAGCTCTAGCAACCAACCATTTCATAAGACATGACTCCTTCACCATACACAGTGGTCTGTAGGCATTCATGGATGATGGACACACTGGTTCCATGTGCCCATTCATACTTTATAACAGCGTGCACTTCTATTGGCAACCATTTTGTCAGCACATGTCTGTCTGCCATCGTGATTTGTACTTGAATAAACTTGGACATACTGGTTCTGCTGCTACTCTCTCTTCTTTAATGCTCTCTGCATGCATCGTTCTTTTTCGACTGATGCTTCTTCTGTCGCTCAACCAGTAATTGGTGTAGTTTCTTATGCCAATTATTTATTTCACTTGTACAAAATAACATTTAAGAAAGCCAACCAGAAAATAATTTCATGTATTTATCATAAAAATAATTTTGATATACCATAAAAACTATACTATTAAAATTAAAAAATTTTGTTTGGCCAAATTAACATCTAAATGACTAAAATTCTGAAACACTGATAATTCTTTTGGTGCTTTATTCTGGATGACTGGCAAAGGCTTTCATGGATTATTAAATGGTATGTATCCACTGAAAAATATTGCAGACATTGTAACAAAACATAATATTTCAAAACTTGGAATAAAAATGTAAAAATTAAACAGCCTGGTGTAAATTTCCTCTGTTCAAAATAAAAAATATTGACTGTGTTTGGAAAATAAATTGCTATTTTAAGTATATTTTAACTACTGCAAAAACAAGAAACTGATCTGTGTCAGAGTGCATAAGCGCTATCTGCTTATGAGAAGGCAGATCTTCAAAGATAATTTTTTTAAGAAAACTTTCCCATATATGTTATACAAGAAGAAATCTCTGAAAATTTTATATAGACATCCTGTTCTGCTGCCAGAACGAAAACCTGAGACAGACTATAGAGATTTTGTGACTTTTAATAGATTAGTCCTCACAAAAGCAAGAAAGAGAGTGATTGTTTATAGGGCTGATTAAAGGGTGTAGAAAACACTAGAATATGGATTACCTTGTATTTGATAATTCTGTAAATGAGTTATAGGGCAGATCTTCCACGGTTTGAGAGAAATAATTGAATTTAATTGCTTTTTAAGAAAAAATGTTGAACATAATTTCTGCATCTTTAAAAAAGTATTTGGCTTTTATGCTGCACTTTCTCATGGTGTTAATTTGCTCTGGCATTTGGAAATTCAGTATGATCAGTAATTCAAATTTGAAATCGCCTTCCACCCATGGATACATTCATCTTAACTCTCCAACCAGCAAAGAGTTTCAATAAGAAACCCTAAAATTGCCATGAGAAGAGGTACTTATTTTAATGATAAAAGTGCCCCTGCTACTTTGTACCTAGATTTATGTACCTTTAATATGTTGCCTTAATTTTTTTGGGCATATTTCAAGATTCTCATATATATACTTTCTTACAGACAATACAAAAAGTATTCTAGGCTACATTTAGTATTCTAGGCTACAATCTAGGGCATACATATATAGGGGACCATGCTGGTCAGAAGGTTAATGGAATGTTTTGAAATAAAGAAATTTGCTTCATCTAACAAATTAGCATTGGATTTTTTTTCCTGTGGAAAACATTCATTTTGCTGCATATTTAAAAAAAAAGTTTTGAAAAATTTCATTCATGTTCCCCGCCACTGTTATCCTAGGGAACCGGGTGTGGTGACCCTGCATGCCCAGGGTATAGCAGTGATTTTAGAGAAATTTATCAGCCTGCTGTCTCAGATTAGGGGCCCCAGAGTGGTAGGCTAACCATTGACCACTGTTCTTTTGGGAACTTTGACTGGTGTGCCCCCATGCGTGATGTGGGCGGTTCTCAGTTGGGATTCAGTCCATGAAGTACTGAACAGGAGCACATTTAACAAACATATTATTACCGCACCCTCACCGAAATGCTTCAAAAACGTATTCATGAAGCAAAGCAGTATGTTGCTAAGGTATGTAATTTTGTGGTAACACCTAAAGTCTCCAAAAAGTATTTATATGGCAATTTAGATATGTGCGTAATACATCTGTGTGTGGAATGACAAGTTTATGCAATTTTCTGATGTGATTTTAGGCGAAAATAAATCGCTGTATACCTGGGAAGGTCAACAGGGCAAAAATAGAAACCAGTTATATGCATAGTACATGTCTTTTTGGTCAGTGTTCAATGCCGAAGGTTCACTGATCATGAAATTGTGTAATTTTGTGATATTTTTTAAGCAAAAACAGATCATTCTGTGCATTGGAAGAACAACAATGCAGTAAAGAATGATTTCTCCAAGGGAAAAAAAAAGGGGTAAATATTTTGTTACTGTTGTTTCCTTTAATTTCATTGATTGACTGCTCTTACGTGGAATCTTTAATGTGCTGCCAGTTTGAAAATGGCTGCTGCCTTTATGAATTACCTTGACAAAAAATTAGTTGTCACCAAGTTTAGGATGTGGATAGTCAGTAAGTACCAATTATTATTTTTTTTTTTTAATTGAAGCAAAAATATTTATCTGAATAAGAGTTTTAGTAAATTAGATGATTGAGGTACTACTTCAAGAATTTTCAAAATCTTCATGACTCACTGAAATGCAGTGTGCTTTTTCCTTTTGTTTATGCATTAATATTAAGCTGCTTTCCAACTATTGCTTGTCTCCCCCCCCCCTTTTTTTTTTTTTTCTTTTTTATAGTTGCAAGCACAGTGGCATTACAGAAGACTGTATAGATAAATGATTATTTTATTTTATTCAGAATGTGACATAAGTTATTTACAGTTACTACATTTTTTTTTTTTTAAATTGTTAAGAAATATATTTTGCTTGCTTCAGTGATGACGAAGGACTGACACCGTTAATGCTGTCATCTGCTGCTGGTCACAGAATGATTGTTGAAGATTTATTACAACATGTAAGCTTCTCTTTTTATAACTTGGAAGTTATAAATTTTTTTTAAATAGTTGTATGTCTCTCATTGCTAAATTCTTTAAATTATTAAGATGTCTTAGACATATGTCAGTTCAGTTAAAGTATATGAAACTTTAAATGATTTTTAGAAAATTAATGAAAAAATTTTTTTTTTTTAAATCAGCTAATCTTTTAATCAGCCTATTTAACCCTTATTCTTTGCAATGAAGTGCAAGATTAATTTTGATAATGAAGTATGCTATAATGTTTGAAAAACTTTCTTTGAATTCAGTTGTCTTTTTTAATATACATTATTTACAGTAATTTATATTTATAGAATAAACGCATACAAGACCCATGGATCATTAATTATAATTGATGTAAAACATAGTAAATGATTCAGCTACATTTAAATATTCTGTATTAATTAAATATGGTAAGTAATTTATTTTAATAATTATTTACATAATAAACCAGTTTACTACCCTAAATTCAGTTCATTTAGTTTGCATTATATACATACAGTGGGCTCTTGATTATCTGGGTTAACGTTAGGGTAGATTACTGAAAAACACAGATAATCAAAACATCAATTTTCATGCATGTTGTATGCATTTATTTCTTAAAAAAATTGGTAATGCTACTTTGTTTTTGAGAACATTTAAATAAAATAAGTAATAAATTAAATTTGACTTTCAATGCATACTTTTTTAATACTATTTTATTATTGTATTGTAATCCCCTTTGCTTGAGGAAATCCAAGAAAGTTTCAACAGAATTCATTGCTGTTTCAGGACTGATGTAATTACCAGTTTCTTCTCTTGTATTTTCAGTTTCACTTTCTGCCTATTCTGTTCTGGTGACGTTTGAAACAATATCCACATCATTCAAACTTTGAAAGCCCAGCTCAGTCGATTCGCCATCAAACCATTCCTTGATGATTTTTCTCCTTCAGCATTTTCAAAGAATTTTATATTTGCAGTTTCTTTGGCATACAACTACAGTTATTGCCTTGAGTTCTTCACAATTAGATGAATCTTCAATTTCTGTTTGAGGAAGGATCTTTCACCATAATCGAAGTTCTGCATTTTTTTACACATTTGCCTGAGTAGTCACTGCCACACACAGATAATTTGCAATTGAGAATATACTGTATTTATATTAGCAGATTGTGCTTTTGATAGGTTACTAGTAATTCTAAACAAATATCCTATTAACAGTCTCATGATTAAAATTACTGAATACTTATAGTTCTTAGGCTGTATTCCACTACCTGAACAGACTAATTGTTAAAAATATTTTTAATGTGAATTAATTAGAAAAATTATTATATGATCCATATAACCTTTTAGAAAATCTTCTATGATGGTATTCTTTTTCTGTCAATCATAGCCTGAGGGCTTTAGTTCTGTACTTATTTCTTTAAATTAAAACTAAAAAACAAATTTCAGTCTTAAAACTTTTGATTACAGTCCAACATTCTGAAAAGTTCCCATAAAAAAAAAATTTCAAAAAACTAGTTTTTATAAAATTTAAAAAAATGCATAAATTTTAAAAACTTGCAATCTGATGATTATATTCTAATTCAGTTTAACATCTGCTTTAACACATGAAATTACATTTTGCAAGTGATTGAAAACACCATCAACTGAAGCATGTAACATATCTGGACAGATGTAGAAATTTTTTAATGAATTTTAACTGTGCTAAAAAGTTTGGTAATTGTGCTATAAGCATGATATATCTTTTGCAAGTAGCATTCCGCATTAACTGAACATTTGTTCCAGCATACTTTTACACAGGTTTTTGAAAGAAAAAGAATCCACAGTAATGGGCATAGTGAAACTAAAAATGAGCTTCATCGGTTCAGAAAATGCTGAGCAGTCATTGTGGATCTGTTAATACTTTTGTCAAAGCCCACCTTATGAATTTTGATGTTACAGCTAGCTGTGTTATTGATAAAAGCTAGTGAAATGATTGCAACTTGTTGGATGTGAGTATTCATGCATCATGAAAAATATATAATACTTATGTTTTTGATGAGCTAAGTTGCACATTCAATTTTTCATATGTATATCCCCTTTATGGACTGTCTGTTGTCTTACATTGTTTCAAAGCTGCAATGGAAGTATACGATTCTGGTAAACATGTTGTTCTACTGGAGGAGTAAACACACAAACTTGCTGATTCTTTGAAATATTGCACTAGGATAGCTGTCTAGCAGGATTATTAGACCTTTACATTTCTTCATTCTATTTTGTGATTAAAATGCTTCTAAAAATTCAGCAGATAATTTGTGGCTGAGATAAAACAGTTTTACCAGTAGCACTTCATTTATCAATGTCAGAGTGAAAAACGTATACGTGCACAAGTGACAGGAAAACTGAGCTGCTAGATCATGTACTGTAATAACTTACTTAATCTTCCATTATTGGTGGTTCTTGTGTTCTATTGGCCCAAACAAAGACACTTTCCTTTAACTAAACCTATTTAATGAAGAGAAGACTATGTACAAATATTATATACAGATTACAGGATATCTAGTTTATGCCGCTCTCATCTACTCTCATCAAACTCTCAACTCTCTCTGGTGAAAACATTTAATTAGCTACACATATGGGTGGCGCAGCACCCTCTATCTCTTTTTCTACATCACTCCCCACCTGTACTCTCTAATAAGCATACACAAACTTACTTACATAACAATATTAACATTAATTAATAATGGATTATTACTAAATAATACAACGTATATAAATGAATAATATAAAAAATAATCCATACTAGTATATATCAAAACCATAAATGAACATAATAATTAATATTAATATAATAAACTCAAATAATATTAAAAGTTCTAAATTAAATTTCGAAAGGATCGATCCAGATCGATCCTTTCGAACCAGTAGCTACTGGATCGAACATGTCCATCTCTTCCTATAATCTCGTTTTCAGTTACACCCATGTCCCAAACTAGTTTGGATTGTTTTGGTCCTTCTACCAACACAATGTCTCCAATCGTAAGGTTCCACTCAGTTTTAGGATTAGCAAAGTTATGTGCATTTCTCAGATGGAGTAAATATTGCTCATTCCACTTGATCCATGTTAATTTTAAGAGCCTAAATTGGTAAAGCTTCCTCCTAGTTAAAGTCTCTTTGTCTGACACCTTGTTAAAAATTTCCAAGAAATGCTCTTGAAAATTAAATGTATCATGTCCTGGCAATAAAAACTCTGAAGGTGTGAGCGGACGAGGTTCACCCAGCTTGTTGCTCTTGTATGTTAAAGGTCTATTATTTAACACACACTCGAGTTCAGTTAATATTGTAGAGAGCTCTTCGAAAGTCAGTAATGCTCTAAGATTTTCTTCAGAGATTCCTTGATGCTCTTCTCATCAGACATTCCCAGAACCCTTCCCCCTCCCCACCATGGGAAATGCTCAGGAATGAATTTCCATGTTATTTTTTTCAGTAGTCATGAAATCTCTTACACCTGCCTCTGATCTGATTCTTTTAAATCTTTTAATTATTTCACGTGTGCTGTGGAAATTCTGGGCATTATCTGAATAAATCACTTTGCAGCTCCCTCTTCTTGCTAAAAAACGTTGTAATGAAAATATGAAACTTTTTGCTTACGTATCTGAAACCACTTCAATGTGTACAGCACGAGTAACGGCGCATGTAAATAAGGTTATGTACACCTTTTGTGGATATCTGTTTTTTCTCTAATAGTAACCGCTCCCATTAAGTCGAAACCTACAACTGTGAAAGGATTCTTTTGGACTACACGATATATTGGTAACTGACCCGTTAACTGTTTGACGGGCTTCACTGCGAACTTTTTATACACCAGGCAAGCGTTAATAACTTTCTTTACTACTTGTCTTTCTTTAGGTATCCAAAATTTATTCCTGACTTTGGACAATGTTGCCATGACTCCTGAATAAAATACTTTTATGTGTTCACTAAATATCACTAGTTCGTTGAACTTCGACTTCGACAGAATAATGGGATGTTTTTCATCATCTATTAATTCTGCTTGTTCCAAACGACCTCTGACACACAAAATACCTCTGCTGTCCAGATATGGTGCTAAACTGTAAAGCTTCGAATCTGGTGTTATTAGATTATTCCTCTCTAGTTGTTGAATATCTGAAAAATAATTCTCTCTCTGGACTTGTTTTGTCCAGTACTCCTCAGTTTCTTGGATCATCCAGTACTCCTCAGTTTCTTGAATCTCCAATACAGTAAGAGGACCTTCTTCATAGGTACGTTTTCTTAGCTTGGCAACAAACTACTTTACCCAAGCTGTAACTCTCAACAATTTTTCCAGACTGCTGAATTTGGTAATGTTTAATGCAGTTTCTTCTTCTGGAACAGTCACCTGAACATAATTTCTTAAACGTTCCAAATTTTGAGTATCAGTTTCTGCTTTAAACTTCTGCCCAGGCCATAGATCTCCAGAATTTTTCAACCATGATGGACCATGCCACCAGTTATTTATTATCTTTCACCAATGTATTTGCTGTTTCACTGAGTTAACTTATCTGCTGGGTTTTCTGACCCTGGACCATATTTCTACTTATCAGGCAGTCTTGTATTTCTGCCACTCTATTCGACACAAACTGATTCCACTCACACACTGACCCTTTTATCCACCACAAGCAAATTTCTGAGTCCGTTCACAAAACTAACCTACCTACCAAGTCCTGAAACATTTTCAATAAATATTTCCCTAACCTAGCTGTAACTACAGCCTCCATCAATTCCAACCTAGGGAGGGACAACTTTTTTAACGAAGCTATCCTACTCTTCGATATTGTAAACATCATACATTCCTCTCCTCTCTCATTTTTATATCAAAAATATGTCATCGTTCCATATGCCACTACTGACGCATCACTGAAAATATGAAATTCAACCAAATGACCTTTACCTAGAACTTCTGCAAAATAGTACCTCTCTATTTTCAACACGTTTAATTCCTCAATTTCAGTGCACCACTCTA